TTTCGTTTTTTTTAAGACTATGGTCGGCACCTTCTGTGCTACTTGCACAGTAGCCGTCTATGCAAATTTACTTTTGAAGATGTTTTTTTTTTGAGATATTTCATTTTCCAGATGTTAGCTCGATGCTTGTTGATTATTATACTCTTCTTCGCAGCTAACAATTCGTTGCATCGAAAGTCGCGTAAGCAACGTGTTCTATTTCTTAATGTTCTAAGTAGCATTTTTCTACAGTAGGAACAAAGCAGAGAACAATAGGACGCTTTGCGCTAGCTAGAAAGAGAAATCTTTTGAGGAAAACTTTGAAAAACTAGATCAATTTATTTCGTCTAGTCTCAAATAATGTTCATTTTGAGAAAAACAAGTCAAGTAGGACAATTTACTCAAAAAATTAGCCTCCAAACAAAACTTACAAAGTGACAACTCAGCCTGAAAAACTTAGGACTTGGATCTTGAGAACATTTGAAACACAAACACAGGCACATGCACTCTATCTCTCTCTCTCTCTCTCTCTCTCTCTCTCTCTCTCTCTCGCTCTCGCTCTCGCTCTCGCTCTCGCTCTCTCTCTCTCTCTGACCCAGACACACTCACTCTCACACACACACCAACACGCACAGAGTCACAGACGAGGACGCATCTAAACTCACACACAAACAACATAATTAACAGATAGATGAATGACTATCAATAAAATCAAAATCCGAGAAAAAAGGACCGAAACTCATTCGAGAGTCGAAAAACGAAGGCATGACATTTTGATGCTCATTGAATTTATACGACTACTTTTTTTTCATGAAACCAACAGAATTGGAGATAAATAGGTGACCATAGAAACTTTAAATCCGAGGGTAAATCTTCAACTTAAACCGTTCGAAAAAATTTTTCATGGTCTTTTGCCCCATTTCCACATTCATAATTGCAGAATTTAACATCAATATAGAGTTAGCAATATAGATTCCATTCAGTCAATTTTACTACTTTTACAACCAAATAAAAACTGATTTGGAAAACACCGTAGAACTTTGCATCCTGTTTTTAGGCACCTCTGATCTTGTTATGACTTCTGTTACTTTTTAATATCGATAAATATTAATTAAAATAATAAAAATGGTTTTCAGAAAGTAATAAAAACTAGACTCATGATCAAAGATTTGTATTTGATTTCGTGTGCACCCCTGAATCCACGTTACAAAGTTCAAAACTTCTCTTATTTCATTATTTATCGAAGTTTTTTATTATCTTTTGAATGCATCGGTAATCTGCCTAGCTGAAACTCTCCTATTCAAAATTGTATTCAAAAATTTTTTCAGGTACAGTAACCTGAACTATCGTCGATATGCACTTTTCTTAAAATCTTACATAGTAACTTAAATAATTCATAGACATGTATGTTTTTTTTTCTTATTTCTTCTATTCTCTTTTCTTCTCTGAAAACAAATATTTTTCAGAAGTCGTTTGATTTTAAGTTCAACTGTTTCTAATTTAGTTTTGTCTGTTGACACATCAGCCAAGACCCGTACTGTAAAATAGAATTTAAATAAGGGTTATATGCTTTCAGTGAATGATCTTTACCTAAAATTTTTCTCAAACCGTAATACATACAAAAGCTCGACAAACTACTTTCATATTTTGTAAAATGATGTGTAAAGGAGAGCTTAGAGTCAATTTGAACACCTAAATAATGGAACAATTGTTTCTCTTCATAAGTTCTTCCATTCATTTTTACATCTGAATTTCCGCTGCTCTGAGATATTATCATGGTTTTTGTTTCATCTTCAGTTAATGTCAGCTTGTTTCTCTCTAACCAACATGCTGTTTTGCCCAATGCTTCCTGGCGTTTACTGGTTCACTCACTGTTTCTGGCTGTTTTTTTATATTATAGTGTCGTCTGCAAACAAAATCAGTTTCATTTCGTTGAATATCATTTATATTAACGATGAAAAGAAGCGGGTCTTATATGGATAATTCACATTTTTTTGGTGAGATCATTTGGTTTTAGTCGCAACGTATTGTTTTCGGTTTTTAGTCAGGATTTCAGAAGGTCTTAAACAGGTCCCCGATAACCATATGCGTCACATTACTCTAGTAAAAGCCTATGGTCAACTGTATGTTCACTGTGTCTTTGTGGTCTTAGAGTTCCAATCTTGAAGCATTTCTTCTATTATGGTTATGAAAGCAACAATTGTGCTCCTTTATGATCTGGATCCAAACTGGCGGTTTCGTAAGAAATTATAGTTTGTGAGACATTGGTTCATTTTGATCTTAGCAACCCTTTGAAACTTGAAAAACTTGAGCTTAATCTTTCGAAAAGGAAAAAGGCCTAAAATTTCAATGGTCTAGAACATTGCCTTCTTCGATGAGAGATCTAAAATTGCTACTTTTTGAATTATCTGAAAAATTTTGTCTACAAACATTTTTTTAAAAATTTTGTCAAAACTGGAAAAAAAACGGACAAATCTTTTTCCAGTAATAGTGATTAAGTCTATATGCATCTAAGCTAAACCTGGATTTTAGTGAATCGATTGTTTTTGATATTTCACTTTCCGTTTAAGCTGCTAAAAACATTGAGTTAATTTGCTTTCCGACTAATTCTTTTGAAACACTAAATTTCCTCGCCAATTTCTCACCAACATTTGCAAAAAAAGTTTTCAAATTCATCAATATTGAAGTTCTTTTCTACCGCGATCGTTGTTTTTGTTAGCAAATGGTAGAACGTTATACGGACGGAAAAAATTTCTGCTGTTGTTGGATTCCATTTGTAATCTATTTTGATAAAAAGCTGTTTTTTTCCGGCTCAGCAGTTTGGTTAGAGATTCAAACTTACTTCTGGCCTCTATGGTTCCAATTTTTGAAAGAGTTTTCCAAAACCGATGTATTTTCGATGCTACAGTTTTCACTCCATTATCTACCCAGAGCTTCAACGATTTTCTAACTGATGTTTTTTCTGGTAAAACGATTCAATTTTATTTCTAAGCTTTTTGTTTAACAATGAAAAAACTCATTGCAGTTCATTTGGCTAATTTTTGCTTCAACATCGAATTAATTTTTATAGCGATTTGTTTAGTTCTTTCAGGAAAGAATAAGATTCAAGTTTATACCACGGTCCGATTTCGGAAAAAGTAGTTCATTTTGGCATGTTTGTGATGTTGCGTTAAAAATAACCCCATAATGATCAGTTACAAAGCTTTTGAAAATGTTTTTTTTTTACAATTGAAAGAAAAAAAGATCTATACCCGTCTTACTGGTCTTGGTTTCTTTGGTTGTTTTTCATTTTGTAGGAAAAATTCGTTGCCAGTTATTATGCTCATCAGTTCAGAGAGTCTTTGCTTTTTATTAGTATATTGATATTAAAGCCACCACAAAGTAGATGTTTAGATGGGCTACTATAATATCGCCCAAAACGCTTTAGAGTATCGCGAGTGCCTGAGTTTTCACCGCGCTTTCATTTGTAACTTTGATGCTTAATAATTGAGTTCGGTTCTTGTTTCTTTATTATTTCAAAATCTATTCCACAATTTACATACAAACCTATGCCTTCTCCCTCCCCTACGCTTACGAGAACTTTCAAAGAGAGATTGATACTCGTTAAATTTAAAAATTTTTAAAATGCTGGTTTGGCGAAAGAAAAGTTTCGTTGCAGCAAATAATGCTAGGAAAATAATTTAGTTGAGATAGGCTAACTTGTCATTCTGTTTTTGGTGAGAATCTAGTATTTTGCAAGAGAATTTGCTCAGTGGTATTCATGATATACTGCTTTGTATGTCTCAGTTGATCTGAGATAGGAGGAAAAAAACCATAGCAAGATAGTCAAAAAATCACGAACTCCCTCAGTTGGCCTGAAAAATTTCCCTTTTACGTCCCTATATTTTATAAGCTGTTCTCGTATGGAAACAATATCCTTAATTTCTCTGTTTTAAAAAAGGAGAAATTTCATATTTGCCATGTTTTCGATTGCACTCCTTCGCTGTAGAGACTCAAAGATCTCTCATTTATATCTAAATTACTACAAAAAAAATTGAAATCTAGGTAAAATAAAATATAAAAGTTAGCTTTAGTGTTCACCTAATTACAGAGCACAAAAGTTTACTCGCATACGCAGTCCATAAGCTCCTTTCCCGGCTTAATGGTCGCGTTATCATTATCAATCTGGAGTGCTCGCATTAAAATAAACAGGGCAAACGGAACGGACAATCTGCAATTTGTTTTGACTAAAAATAAGAAACAATTAAATATTTGTGAAATGCTTCTGACGCAATTGAATTTCCGCGCCAAAAACACTTGTATAATTAGTATATCAAAATTAAGTAAGGGCAAAATAGCACGCTTTAATATCAACTCATTATATTTTTTGTTTTATCATGAAATAATCAACAAAAAATTTCAGTTCGTGTAACTGTTTATGATTCTATTTGTTGTTCATATTTCTTTTTTCCCACTGGTGAGACTCTATCAATATTTGCACCTCTGCTGCTGTTGTTAACCTCAATTTTTCGTTTGATCGCATTTGATTCCAAATTTTTGAGATCCTCAATTTGAATTACTTAAAAAGAACTCAACTTGATTTAAGATCATTTATCCACGAAGACCAACATACGAGCTGTTCAGCTCATCACGGCGAACCGCTGCTGTGCTCCTGCTTAAGAACTACATGCAACTTTTTTGGTTATTTTTCTGGGCTGGGTAATGTTGCCTCACCCTCAAGCAACGAGCACGGATCATGGTGGGCCTCGAACATACGACCTTTCGATTGAGAGGCGGATACGTAACCACTTCACCACTGCTCTCCTTCACCACGTTAAGTCAAATCACAAAAATTTAAGCTTGGGCCTGATAATTTTTGGGCGTGAGTACACTATTCATATTTATAGGGGACGCTAGCTACAACGAAATAAGCCTTCAGATCAATTTAGCTCAGGTTGACGGACCAGACATGTCTGGATAAGCTTCAACCACTGGTTTAAAGGAAACTGAATTTTTCGTTTAATTGAAAAACAGAACCAGCTGTTAGAAATTAAAATCTAGAACTTTTACATTGATATAGAAAATAATTAAATTTTTGAAATTGACGAGACTTAAACAATTACATCAACAAAATGCATACCCAAATGGAACCTATATATAAATTGAAATTTATTACTGCAATAATTCATGATTACAAAGCCATCCATTGAATAGTCTAAGTTTCCACGTAATAGTCTTAGCTGCGAAATAGCTCCAACCATTTCATTAGTATCATTATTGATACGAACGTAATTGAACAGTCAAATTTGTAAAAATGCATCAAATTCAAATTTTGTGAAGGTAAACTACAAACTAAGTAGAGTTGAATCATTTTTGAACATGTTAAGAAATCGCTACAAATAGTTTCTAAATTGTTATATGCATCATACTTTCTAAAATCTACCCTATGGCTTCAAATATTTACAGCATATTCAAAGATTCTAGCGTTTTTATACAATTATTGTATCAATACAACTATTTATTCTCGTCTAACTTCTGTTTATACTAGTTCAAATTTCAAGTCTTCAAAAATTGAGAATTCTTAAACGTTGCCGATAGTTGATGTTGGAATCATCCGTCAGCTCTTTTCCATGTTGGGAGTTGAGCTAGAACTTCTAACCACAATAGTTTTGGTCAACAGTCGAAGTTCACTATCTTCGCTCGCTCCTACTCTTCGTGGCTCTTCATTGGTCGGAGACGTTGCTGGTTCCGTACTCGGATCGAAGCTCTGTGTACTCTCAAACTTATTTAGCCGAGGTGGTTCTTCTAGAACATTCGAAGTCGGAGATATCGACGCGTTCTCTACACTCACAGTTCCATGCAGTTTTGCTAGACTTTGCAGTGATCTTTTGGTCGCTTTTGAATGCATCCCCTCCGTTGATGTTATATCGACTGTAGCTTCGGTGGATTTGCAGCCTCTCAGCTCCGGTTCTGAATATTTCAAAGTCGACGATGTTTCATCCAGAGTCAGAGTTTTCGACATCGGATCTGAACTGCAACTTTGAATGCTAACGTTCTCAAATAACTTTGGGTAGTCCTCTATAAACATTTCGATAACCGCCGAAAGATGGTCCAACTCTGAGATTTCTTGGTCTAGTCTTCCAAGCTGAAAAATATGTTCGTCTTGCTTTTTATTGGTGATGAGAGTAGGTCCAAATACTCTTCCTAAATTGTATGCGTTCATTTTGTTCAGAGAACTATGTTCTGTTATTTGACGCAGATGACGCAGAAAAAATCGTAAGACTTTTTGATTTTGCACACTAAGGAGACCGATCAACTTTGCGCTTTTCTGCAGTAAGTGATTGTACGACTTGTCTTCCTCTTTAAGGGCTCTATAACATCTTCCCACATCTTGCCAATCCTCAGTCAAATTGTTGTCAAGCAGCCTGTGAGGTAAAACACGGAAGAAATGCTTAACTAAGGAGCAGAGAACTTGCGGAGGTGTGCTAGATAAATTAACACTACTATAACTATCTTCGAATTTCTGGCACAAAATTTGGACTTTGGCCTTTGCACCTTCAGTCCTATACAACCCACGGATTTCCAAGAATTCGTTTTCAATCTGCTTGATGCATTTTGAAAGTACCACGGGAACGCCTGCAGCATTGTCAATTGGTTGCAGGGAAAGAGGAACTGAGAATATCTTCATGTTTCTCTGGGGCACGTCTCTCGCTTGAAAACAGGTGATTGAAAGTTTGTTCAGACATCCTGTGTGAATAGCTTTCGAACAAGTTTTACAGAACAAAGCTTCGTAGAACACGTAAACGTCGCACTCGACGCAAAATGTGCACTGAAAATGAACGGAGGGATCTCGATCGACTTCAGCGAAGTTGTGAGTTTTGGCAGCATCTGATGAAGTGAAGTCCGAGAATGAGGTATGTCTTGAATCGAAAGCCGATCCTGGAACTGTTAGCATTGATGACAAATTGGATGCCCGTTTACCACAACCACCCTCTTCGGTGCTTTTTGACTTGCTGCTGATCACATTTGACATGGCGCTGCTTGATATACTGAAGAGTCTGCTAGCTTTCGACTCTTGCAGTTTTATGTTGAGATTCGGACAGTTTTCTAGCTTGAACTCTTCCTCCTGTTGAGATGGCAGATCGGGATCGTTATTGAGGATGCTAATCAATTGGTCCCTATAGAAGTTTTCAACGGTGTAACTTCTACTTTGTTCTACTAGATGTTTATACTGCACAGGTCTCAGTTGGTACATTCCAGTCACCATCTTGAAGTAGTTAATCAGAGCCGACTGAATCTTCAGCTCAGCCTGCAAAATGAGTTGTCTGATGCAAATCACGGCAGTATTGCGCTCGTCTTTCACTGATTTCTGACCGGCATTTGCTACAGCTATTAGCCTGTCGTACTTGATTTTGGAGTCTAATAGTCTGTCCTTGGCTTCTATCATTTGTTTTTGTCGCTTCTCCGATTCACTGCTACTTTGCTCTAGTCTACTCACTTCTGCTTGCTGAAACAGATGAAAATTGAGGTTTAGACTTGAAAGCATCCTAAAATTAATCAAAAGGCCACTGAGTTCATACCGTTTCTCGTTGAGCAGCCAAATTGGACTAAAATAAGACCATTGACCCATTATATCCTCAGCATAGATTATAGAATTTGTAGTTTCGAATTGAAACGTTTGGTTGATAACCAGGTTAAAACTTGCTAAAAATTGCAAATTCGATATGAAGATAAAAACAGCCTACAGCAAGTTGAGGAAGTGTGAATGAACTCCGAGAATATGAAAGAAATACAGAGGGGAAGCGAAGCTTCGCACCACTTGCGATACAGCGCGAACATACAAAATAAGTCGGAAAAAAAATGAAAAATGTGAAAAAACTACGTGAATTAAAATGTTCAAATGGGCCATAACTTTTGTGTTTAAAAAATTGAGCATAGTAGATTAATCTAGCCAGCTTCCCGCAACCCATTAAATCAAAATAACCCGACTTTGAACGGTAGTTTTGCAAAAAAAAATGGGTCACAAAAGCAAAATTTTGACTTTTCCGAAGGCCATAACTTGTTGTAAAAAAACAATAGGGCGTAGCCGCATATGCAGAAAAATTTCGACACACCGAAAAAACCAGAATCTAAATTTGAGAGTATATTTTTTAGAAAACGAGAAGTAATAAAAATTTGAGACATAAATTCCCCTCAAAGATTTTTTTCGAAGGCTGTAGAGAGAATGGTAAAGTAAAAAGAGATAAGAAGATTATGCAGGCACACAGATGAGCAGGCGTTCTTTTTTATACCTTTGTTTTGGAAATCGAAAAAGTAGTTTTCTACCGAACTAAAATTTTGCAGAAAAAAAAATCGAAAGGGTCTCAAAAAAACCCAATGCCATACATTTTTCATAATACCTGATTTTGAAGAATAGAAAATTTTGGGCTTCGAAACTACGCATTATGGACTTACTAAGCCAATACAACCTAAGCCAAAAAATTTTAATCAAAAAAAGTTTAACAAAAAACAACATTATTCGAAATTGGTAATGGTAAAATGGTAAATTACAGAACTTTCAATCAAAATTTTAGAAAAAATTCAACAAAAATATGTGAAATTCATGCTTTACGAAACCAGCCAATAAAATAAGTATCAGATTTTAAAAAACCTCGCAAACAGACAGTTGAAAAAGAGTCAATGAACGCAAGAAAACAAAAAAACTGCCTTGCTTTTTCGAAAATTTTATAGAACTGCCGGTTGCTGTGTAAATACCACAGAGGGTTCCGAGCACAAAAAACATTTGAACAAGAGGCAAAGTGACGCATACACGCATACAGCACGACAAACTGGTAAACAGAAAAAGAAACGAAAACCTTTTGATAAAAATAAACTAGATCTACCAAAATTTCATATTTTGATTTGAAGTTTAACATTTTAACATTCAAAACGTGGGTCTCAAAAAAACCCACAAAGCAGTAACAAAACCATCAATTGAGCAGAAAACCGTTCAGTCGGAAAAAAATTTCATAAAAAATGAAAAATTCTTTAAAAAACGCTTCAAAATCTTTTCTCACCAAATGACGCAATACTAGACAAATATAAGCCAACAGCTTTGAAGCTCAATAAAAACAATTATAAAATTAGAGTCAAAAAATTACAACCAAAATAAAAACGGATTTTAAGTATAACGAGCAATTAGAAGCAAAGCTTAGTGTTCTTTGACGAGGTGCAGATTTGAAGATAACCACAAATTAGTCATTCTGTGAATAAAAATATCTACAGGAAAAAAAATTAGTGCCACCTTGCAATATCCGTTCTAATTGCTAGGGTAACAAAAAATCAACCAAATCTGCGATTTCTTTGCGCGAGATATGGTGAAATTAATTAACACAAAGTCGTAGCTTCGCTTCGCAAACACTAGCGAAAACACGACAAAAAGCAGCTCTAGAAAAAGCAATATTAAAAAAAAAATTAGCCTCGAATTAGCAAAAATTCGGCTAGGTCTAGGATTTGTTCTGCGACCTGCTGCAATCAAAAGATTTTGAGTCGCACGCACTAACCACTGAGCCACGCACGATTAACCACTGACAAACACTATTCACGAATAAAGCAGCTACACATGCTATAAAATTGCCAATGCGACTCAGCAAAATTGGCGCCAAATACAAATAGACACGATTTTGCAAGTAATAAATTGGATTATAATAAACTGAAGAAATCCACACTAACTTTGCATGTAACAAATCTCAATCGCAAAGGATAAAGCCACATTATACATTAATTATGCATTTCAAAAAATTGCGAGATATATTGAGTTAGAAAATTTCTGAAATCGAGTTTTTATTCTTGTTCTGTTGTTTGAAACAAACAGCTTTTTTCGGTTCATTTGATGATTTAAATTTGCATCAACTGCGTTAACTTATTACTATTCGAATGTCAAAGCACATGCTATTAAAAAGCTGTAAAGATGCCACCGAGGTGTCAAAGCACATGCTATTAAAAAGCTGTAAAGATGCACATGCTATTAAAAAGCTGTAAAGATGCCACCATGTAAATACCACAGAGGGTTCCGAGCACAAAAAAACATTTGAACAAGAGGCAAAGTGACGCATACACGCATACAGCACGACAAAATGGTAAACACAAAATGAAACGAAAACCTTTTGCTAAAAAAAACTAGATCTACCAAAATTTCATATTTTGATTTGAAGTTTAACATTTTAACATTCAAAATGTGGGGCTCCCAAAAAAACCCACAAAGCAGTAACAAAACCCTCAATTGAGCAGAGAACCGTTCAGTCGGAAAAAAAATTTCATAAAAAATTCTTTAAAAACGCTTCAAAATCTTTTCTCATCAAATGACGCAATACTAGACAAATATAAGCCAACAGCTTTGAAGCTCAATAAAAACAATTATAAAATTAGAGTCAAAAAATTACAACCAAAACAAAAACTGACTTTAAGTTTAACGAGCAATTAGAAGCAAAGCTTAGTGTTGTTTGACGAGGTGCAGATTTGAAGATGACCACAAATTAGTCATTCTGTGAAAAAATATATCTACAGGAAACAAATTAGTGCCACCTTGCAATATCCGTTCTAATTGCTAGGGTAACAAAAAATCAACTAAAATCTGCGATTTAATTGCGCGAGATATGGAGGAACTAATTAACACAAAGTCGTAGCTTCGCTTCGCAAACACTAGCGAAAACACGACAAAAAGCAGCTCTAGAAAAAGCAATAATAAAAAACAAAAAAAAGCCTCGAAAAATTCGGCTAGGTCTAGGATTTGTTCTGCGACCTACTGCAATCAAAAGATTTTGACTCGCACGCAATAACCACTGAGCCACGCACGATTAACCACTGGCAAACACTATTCACGAATAAAGCAGCTACACATGCTAAAAAATTGCCAATGCGACTCAGCAAAAGTGGCGCCAAATACAAATAGACACGATTTTGCAAGTAATAAATTGGATTATAATAAACTGAAGAAATCCACACTAACTTTGCATGTAACAAATCTCAATCGCAAAGGATAAAGCCACATTATACATTAATTATGCATTTCAAAAAATTGCGAGATATATTGAGTTAGAAAATTTCTGAAATCGAGTTTTTATTCTTGTTCTGTTTGAAACAAATATTTTTTTCGGTTCATTTTATGATTTAAATTTGCATCAACTGCGTTAACTTATCACTATTCGAATATCAAAGCACATGCTATTAAAAAGCTGTAAAGATGCCACCAAAGTGTCACCAATATTAGCGACTTAGTTTAGAAAAAAAGGTTCTCAACAAAACTTTCAGCTGGCGCTAGTGTTAAAATAACTTTTGAGAATTATAGCGAATCGAAAATTGGAAAAGAGCAATGAAGGCAAGTAAACATTAAAAAACACTTGACTTTCTTGAAAAAATCTCAATTTTCTAACACGAAATTGAGTTAGAAAATTTCTGAAATCGAGTTTTTATTCTTGTTCTGTTTGAAACAAATATTTTTTTCGGTTCATTTTATGATTTAAATTTGCATCAACTGCGTTAACTTATCACTATTCGAATATCAAAGCACATGCTATTAAAAAGCTGTAAAGATGCCACCAAAGTGTCACCAATATTAGCGACTTAGTTTAGAAAAAAAGGTTCTCAACAAAACTTTCAGCTGGCGCTAGTGTTAAAATAACTTTTGAGAAACATAGCGAATCGAAAATTGGAAAAGAGCAATGAAGGCAAGTAAACATTAAAAAACACTTGACTTTCTTGAAAAAATCTCAACTTTTGAATTTCAAAGAAAAAAATAGATGCCCTTTAAGCTCTTTGAATTTCTGGAACAATTTATGATTGACGCTTTTTTTGATATTTTGAATCCAACTTGAACACGAAATTAGAAATCGTTCACGAATTTTTGCACCATTTGCACGTTTGTATTTGGAGATTGATCTTTACGTCATTTTCAGCAGATGAATTCCAATTGAACTCGTAAAGTGCATATATACCTGAGTGCATTCATAAATGCATCAATATGTATCAATGCACATCTGTAGTTATTAGAGACTTTTCCTTTAAAAAAACAAAAAAATCATCAAGACCTATATAAGAGTCTTCACTGCGTTCATTACTCTTCAAAACGGTTTGAAAACTTAATTCTCAAATTATCCACTAGTGCCAAAGAACTTCATAAATTTTTCATTTACTTTTTCAAATAAATAATGCTAATAAAAGTCTGCACCACTTGCACAACTGACAATTCTGGCAAGCAAACACAGACAACAAAATCGCCATGAAGCAGTTGCCTTAACCTCTAACCCACTGCTGCTTGGATAAAAAAACACTTTCATCACTACTCAAATACAAGTTTATTTTTGCTCGTCTTTTTGGTACCATTGCCCAACACGCAATGCCACGAATTCTAGAACGCAATGATTAGATCAATGAACTGGTCTCAATTAAATTTAAGGAAGGTTTTCGACTACACTCCAGCACTAGAAAATGGTCGCTTTGCGTGCATTAATAAATCCGAATTGGCAATTTTATTACGTCCACCATAAGTTCTGAGGTGAAATGTTCTTTTTATGTTACAAGCTGTCAAAATGATTCAGTCGAAATTTGTCTGGAGAAAAATTTTGTACCTTTTCTTCAAAATTTGAACATGCCAAGCAGCAATGATAGCGCTTTAACAAGCCGGATATTTGTAATACTAATTGAAATCTCTAAATAGAGAATAAACTATATCAACAATTAATGCAAAAAATTAACTCATAAAATTGCTACATATGATTTCACTGAAAATCAACACGAGTAGAAGCGTAGCTTCGCACTACTTTCGACACATCACAGACATTACACGGCAAGCTAGGTGAAAAAAATGAGATTAAAGCCACTGAGTCAAAAACAGAAACTATACCTCCCAAAAGTTTCATACATTTGCCTCGGTTGAAGTTTAGTTTAAGGAAATATGTCAAAAAACATAATCACTAGCGTTAGAATATGATAGAGACAAAACTTATCAGGGGATAAACAAGCCGACATCAACTTGATAGATCTCCATTCGAGCGAGAAAAATTTTGCGCTCTAAAAATTTTTTGAACTTGAAGTTAACCCTTGGGCAGAACCATTCATTAGATTTGAGTTTATTACGAAACAAGTTGAAACATGTAACATCTTCTTTGAGCAAAAATTACAACGGGAAAAATTTAGTACCCGGTTGCCATTCGCAGAGGCAAAAAGTGGATATTTAAGTTTTCAAGGAGGCAAACACAAGCTAACAAACGGCAAGAAGTAGCTTAAAAGGGTGAAAGAAAACTAATGTGTATTGAAAAACAAATTACCTGTACGGGAACTAATCATAAGTCCTCGGGCATTTATGTTTTGCAGTTGGCTACCCTACAAAATTGAGCCACTGACTCTTATAGAAACCAAAAACAAGCGGCAAAATGGACCTTCAAATTTCACAATATAAAAAACTTTGCATGTAATTTGAAATGAAGAAAAGCAAGCACACTCTTGCATATAATAAATTGAAAAGTATACAGCCAAATGGTGTTAGAATTGTGCATTTCAAAAATCTCGAAAGGAGTTTTTATTATTGCACTGTAGCATCCTTCGGTTCATTTGATAAACTAAGAATGAATCCGATGTATTAAATTACTAATAATTAAATGTCAATGCACATGCTATTAAAACGGCCATTCAGCCTCCTGCTTCAAAATTGCCAGCTAAAGTAGCGCTAGAACTTGTGAATTAGGTCGGAAAAATTTGCATCGTACTATCACACTGCCCTTTGCCTGTGTAATTATCTCAGGCATTACTGCGGGCGTGATAATATGCTACTTTTTCATCGATCGGATAATTTTGTTCAGAATGACATACCTTAAGCCAGTAGTTATCTCGCGCCTTCCTGACTAGCAAACACGTATTGGCATAATTTCTCTCCTCCAGCTCCCACAGATCTTTGATCTCCTTGCGCAAGTCATCGAATTCCTGTTTGCGACTGCGCAGAGATTCCACGAACTTCCTGTTCTGCAGCTCCATAGTCACTTCATTCAATTTTTTGCAGTACTCTTTGTCCTGAAAAAACACGATAACACATTTTTGACAGACAAAAATTTCCAAATATAGCTTCAAGCTTGAATAAGGGAGAAAGCATGCTTCAATTTATGGCTTAAACTGGTCACACTAAGGAATTATCCTCAAATTAACCAAGGCTATGGCTATCCGTCCATTCCATATTATTGACAACTTCACATTTGTCAAAAATTGGCAAACATTTTGAATCTTAAATTCTATGCAAGTAACACCAGACTTTTTCAACCACACTGTTGTGATTGAAATTTGGATTTTTTACTCAGTTTCCACTTTTAGGTTAAGATAATGTCCAAATCAAGTAGCACTTAGCAGACCCAGCTTAACTTGGAAGTACCTCTTTGATATTTTTCATTTGCATTGGTAATACTGATGCGCGATGAAATGGATAATTTCAAAAATTTGACTGTGCCCAAAATCTTAGTTGTTTCTCTACTAAAAAAAGGTTCCCTAGGAGATAACATTTTTCATACAAAACAAGGAACGAGTCGCTGCTTGGGCGGGAAAAATTCTCGCAAACGGTTCTTTCGATTGAACAATTCGTCTCAGATTTGATAGGTTAGTTTTTAAGGAAAGTCAATAGTTTCTAAACAACACGGCTTTCCAAAATCCAAAACATTTTTTTCTACAAAAAGTAGGTCGTGTTCGGTTAAGCGGAGAAAACTCCCAAAATCTGGTTGCTCGATTGAATACTTAACCTAAGAACTAGCAGGGTAGTTTTCGAGAAAGTTTCCAAAAACGGTCTATTTCAAAACACTGACATTTTTGAAGCCCATAACTTTTATCCAAAAAACTGAAAGTGACCGCTTATGCAAATAGGCATTCAACAACCTCCTATTTTGATTAAAATCTTGATATCAAAATGAAGGGATAGTTGTCGAGATATCAGAACTGGCAGGATATTTGTCAAAACGTTTTCAAAAAGCGGCCATTAAATCAAAAACTTGCCTTATCTGATTTAAGAACCTTTTATTTCGTTTGAACCCAAAAACAAATTTGGAAAGGGTAATTTTCAAGAAAGTTGAAATAAGGTTACAAATATGAAGAAAAAAAATGGTTTTTCCAAGAGCCAGAATTTTTTGTTAAAGCATTGCGCGTAGTCTATTATGCAGGAGAGCTTCCTACAACCAGCTATATTGATTGAGCCTCAGATTTGAGAAGACAATATTCGAGAAATGTCAGTGTCCGAAAAATGGTCGAAAAAAAACATATTTGACATTTCCGAACGCCAAAATCTTTTATCTACAAAAAAGTGGGTACCGAATTACGCAGCAACGATTTACGCACCAAAATACGCACCCCCAACTTGTTCATTCGATGAAACCATTAACATAAGAAATGGCAGGTAAGTTTAAGATAACACCCGAAATTTTCCAAAAAAACAGTCGAAATTAGAATTTGAATTTTTCGCAACTCATTTTTCCTTAAAAATTACGACGTAGCCGCTTATGCAGCAAAATTTTCCGCAGCCTATTGCTTTGACTAAACCTCAGATATCAGATCTTGCATTGTAGTTTTCGAGAGGAGTCGAAGTTTCCAATAAACGGGCAACAAACCAAATAGTTGATTTTTCCGAGGGCCTTAACCTTCTGTGCAAAACGGGCAGAGACGATCATGCAGAAGAGCTTTTACAACCAACCCGCTACTTCGATTGAACCCAAAAACTCAGATTTGAAGGGTAGTTCTTGAGAAAAGTCAAGAAGTTTCAAAAAAAGTAAAAAAAAAATTGATTTTTCAGAGGACCAAAAATTTTGGCGTAAAAAATTGAGCGTTGCCGCTCATGCAGGGGAACTTTTTTCAGACTTTTTTGGAAATTGAATTCAAATCTCAGATTTAGGAGGATAATGTTTGAGAAAAGACAAAACCTTGCAAAAAACGGTCTAAAAATTAAAAAATTTACTTTTCCGAGAGCAATTACTCGCGAAAAAAATTTTTTGTGCGAAAAAAGTATTGTCGTGGCCGATCACGCAGTGGGGCCTCCTTCAACCCGTTCCATCTATTGAACTCAAAATCTCAGATTTGGGAGGGTGGTTCTTGAAACCAAAAATCCTTAAATTTGGGTCAAATTTTCCCCATAGACTTTTCGAAGGCAATGGAGAGTGGGGTAAATTAAAAAAAAAAGACTAGGGGATTATGCCTGCACACAGATGAGCATGAGTTCTTTTTTTGAAAATCGAAAGTGATTTTTTACCGAGCTAAAAAAATTTTGCAAAAAGTTTTAAAAAATCAAACCAATTCCATTCATTTTCATAAAAACTGTTTTAATCAAACAGGAATTCCAGGAAAAAAACATGCTAAGCAAGAATTAATTTTAAAATTAGCGACGGAAAACTTACAAAGCGGAAAAAATACGACAGTCTTTGAGCAGAAACCAGTTAAAACGAAAAAAAAACTAATTTTATAATATTTTTTTACATGAGTTTCAAACACCGCCTGAAACGAGAAGGAAAAACACTTCCAACCACCATAATACTTGCTTGTCGCCCAAGAAAAATCCGTGATGTAGCACCTAAGCGAAAGTCCTACGACCCAATTTTTACCGGATTTTTTTTTTTTCAAATTTCATACATATTGGAAAAAACAAGTCCCTGCCGGGACTCGAACCCAAGACATGAGGGTGCAAAAGCGACAGCGTTACCTCCAGACCAAAAGGGAAGGAACCAATTGTTAGGATTTATATTAAAGCAAGTGCGATTTCTTGAGAGAAAAGTTGTTTACGGAAACAAAGACTAGTTCGCAAGTGTAAATTTATATAAAAAAAAAGAGATAATATAATGAGCCAGGAAGAAAAAACTGATTCTTTTAATTAAATCCTCTTGTTTCAGTACGCTGAATATAAGTTAGGTATTTGATTATCTAACTCCATATACCAAAATCCATAGTTACCTGGAGGTTCATAAACGATACTGTTCCCCAAAGAGGCAAAGTAGCGTAGTTTTCGTCAACTGCAGAAAAGTTGTATCCCTGTGAAATTTTGTACAACTTCACGCAATAGTCCAGATCTAGCGCTAGTTTCTTCTCGACATAAGACAAACAATCGCGGAAGTATTTCGAGAACATCTCTCCGGATTCAAAAGCCTGTGAAAACCAAAAATCATTTTAAGCCAACGTTTAACTAACTTTTTAAACATCAAGCATCAAATTAGAGCCGAAGCAAACTTTTAGGCCAATGATGAGCAATGCAACTTGTTTACAAATTTTTCTCATGTCTACCATAAACATTCCGCTCTTTTCCAGTTTCCCCCCCCCCCTTTCAAAACACCGAGTTTTTTTGTTTGTTTTACGTGTTTTTACGGCTAAATGCGTGATGTTACGCTGTAAAGTATGAAGAACAAATCTGTTCACAGTTGTCGATTACTTCACCACGCCAAATTTCATTACACTATGACAACGTTAAATACACTTTTCAAAATTGAATTTGAAAGGGGGGGAAACTGGAAAAGAGCCAAACATTCTTCCAAAATATGAGAACCGGGAACCGGAGCACGTGGGTAATTTTCATGACATTAGGCTAGGGGTATAATGGAAAAACCCACAAAGTAAATGCTATCAGCTAATATAACAAAATGATTACCTTTGATATGCCTTTTTCGCCGGAGTTGACCAAAATTGACTCAACTACTGGAAGTTTCACCTCTGACTTGTTATTTTCATCAAGTATTCTCTTAATTTCTTCCAATGTTATCTTTTCAAAATCAATCGCCTCACTATCTCTCTCATGTTCCAACTTGCATGAGACTCTGCCAGTTAAATGGAAAATTCTTTCGTGCAACAGTGAATGCAGATCTGACATGAGGTGAAACGCAGGTTCGATGACATTTTCATCTCGATCAGCAAGTAAAGCTAGAAGTTTGTTTAAGTCAGTCGTGATACTGGTTGTTGAAAACTCAGGGAACTTGGAGAGCATGTCTGTGAAGTGCTTCTTGAACTCTAGCATACTTGAAAAAGAATCGAATAGATCGATTCCTGATTCGTCGTATTTGTATCTTTCGAAGCATTGCAGAAATTTCTTTAGAATTTGATCTAAAAGAGCAATTAAGTCGTTAGTGAAGAAAATTAGAGTAAGCTATCTTGTTTTTGCTATCTTAAAATCTAGTCAAAAACGAAATGAATGCTGAAAGGACCTCAGTTTAGTTCACCTTATTTTAACTAAATCAAGAAAACATGTTATCGTATGTTTACTCGCGCATATGATGCTCAGTATTTTGATGAAGTGAAAAATAGATGCAAAGTTAAGGATTGCCAAAACAAATCGCATCAATTTATGGTACACATTTAATAAGACGTATGCTTTATATAAAAATAATTGCTAATTTTTAGGACCGGATCAAAATACCCGAATCCCATTTTGTAGTAGATAAGCAAGAGCAACATATTTCATCTAGAATATTTATGAACAAATCGAGACACGCGGTGTGGAGATAGGAATGATTCGAGATGCAATACAGGTTGTTGCTTATCTGGTATGAGACACATGTGCGCAGTTTGAACAAAAATTGAAACATTTTCACGCTCACACGTGATTTTCACTTTCTACTTTGTTTAGGTTGATTGTTCGTTCTAGGAAAGATATTGAACTAGTTACTATTTCATTTTTGAAAAACTAGAGCAAAATTTGAAACACGGATGCAAGCTTTAAATATTGCACTAGTAATTCAAATATTGCACTCCTGACTCAAATACTGCACTAATTTTTCAAACATGGCAAAGAAACATATTGAGCACCAGTGTTTTTTTTTTTTCAACTATATCAGAAATTTTTTTCCGGAACAGCAAAAAAAATTCCATTGTCAAAAAACAGTGTTTTGATTTTTCTAAAAAAATATGTCATTCCGAATTCCATTCCGAAGTGCATAGTAATGTAACCAGAGCTGTCACTTTCTGAGAGACCTGGAGTTCTCCGTAAACGATGTCCGCAAACTATTAACTAAAGTTCCCGACTCTTCAACTGTTGCGTTTGACGGTGTTCCACCGTTCGTATTGAAACATTCCTCGCTTATTACTTATCCTGTCTATCATCTTTTTTCCAAAGTACTTTCAAATCGCATATGGCCCTCTTACTGGAAAGAAGCCTATATTGTTCCAATACACAAGTCCGGCCCCCGTTCAAACATTAAAAATATCCGCGGAATTAGTATCCTTCCTCGCACATCTCTGGTTTTAGAACGAATCATCTTCAATTTTATACATGAAAAAGTCAGATATCGTTGTCTGCCTCTCAGCACGGCTTCCGTGCTCATCGCAGCACATTTACGCAGCTGTTGCAAAACGTTGACATGCTCTACAAGTGTAACGACAAAAATATTGACTTCTGCGCAGTGTATTTTGATATTGAGAAAGCCTTTGGCAGAAAGCCTTCTTAACTGACGCTATTTTTATATTCTTTTTAATGTTAATTTTTATACATTTTTTGTAATTTCTACACATCCATTTCCATTCCGGTTTTACAGGTGCTTTGTTTTTTAGATTGGCTGATGATGACTTTTATGTCGAAAACGTTTCTGGAATTTATTTTACATTAATCTGCCGTTTTTATCACTGCCTTTGGCAGTGTTTCTCACTGACTGTTTACTGTTCAAGCTTCAAAAATTCCGGTTTGATCGTGATTTCATTCAATTAATTTCCTCGTATTTAGGCGAACCGTACTCAACGAGTGAAACTGGATTGTACGTTATCGTCGTTGAAGCATGTACTCAGTGGTGTTCCGCAAGTGAGTATTCTCGGTCCTCTTTCATTTCTTAATTTTTGTAACCAACTTCCAGAATCTGTAAGCTACTCAACATCATTTTAATTTGCACACGATTTGAAACTTTCTTCTATTGAAAATCATGCCTTGCTCGAACAAGACAAGGATACATTATCTATGTGGGCTGATGAAAATGGTTTAACTTTTCACCGCAGAGAACAACGGTTATTTGCTCAAACACCTGCAATTTGTTAACGAGTTCTGTATGTATCCGCAAGGTTCAGCCCACTAAAGACCTTCGGTTACTTATCCGCGCTGACATGTCTTGGAATGAGCACATATGAAATGTAGCCATGCCATCCGCAGTTTCCATGCTTTAAAACCCAACATTCCTTGTAACTCACGGGGTAATTCAGTTCAGTTCAGTTCTTTTTCTGATCTTTTAGGCGTTTTGTCGCCTCTATCGATCAGCTCATGATGTACTCCTTTTCGATTAATTAGTCTCAAAATTATTAATTCCGCTTTTCTTCTCATGTTTGTGCAGGTTGTTCTTGAAAGCGTTCAAGGTCTTCGAGTCAATTACTTCTCCTGGCAAAATTTTCCAATCTCTAGCTGATCTAATGGTAAAAAAAGTTTATACGCAATTCGAATTTGGCCTTTAATGCTGATTTATGACTTCATTGCTGATATAAATGCATTTTTATATCGCTGGTATGGCCCTATCCAGCTTGTGCACTTACCGTAACAAAACGGAAGGGCCCCTTTTGTAATTTAGTAGAGAAAGATTAAATATAAGTTATTTTATGTCGTAACGGTTGTAACCTATTTTGAACATTTCGATCCTTGTTCCTCGCCTTCTGCGGTATTCAAGTGACGGTAGTTCTTGTTTTTTTAATCTTTTATTGTAGCTTAGTATCTGCAGCCCTTGTACCATTCGTATCGCTCGTCGTTGCACATTTCCGATTAATCTTGTGTTCTTCTTTAATCGCGGGTACCAGACTTGATTACAGAACTCCAATTGAGGCTTTATGAGGCCTTTATAAACATTTAAAATTACAGATATAGTCTTTTAATGAATGTTTTCTTGAAAACTGCAATGATAGAATTTGCCTTTTTTTTTACAAAAGATTTGAGAGTCAAAGGAGAGTTTACTATCGATGATCACTCCAAGGTTTTTTCTTCTCCTGCCGTTTCAAGCTGTTTATCGTAAAATTCTTTCGAGCTTGTTTCACGATTTGATCCTCCATTTGAGATTATCAAATGTACACATTTATCTTCATTGAAATGCGAAAGATTATTTTTTGACCATTCTTCCAGTTTTTTTAGATCTTCTTGCAGCAACTCAACGTCTTTGTTACTGGTAATTTCTCGGCATAGTTTTGCATCGACTGCAAATAAATAGAATTTTGTTTCGACTGTCTTCGGCATTGAATTTATATATATTACAAACAAAACAGGTCCCAGTACAGATCCTTGGGGAATCCCACTCAGAACATCTTTCCATTCAGATCTACTGTCGTTTATCACAACTCTTTATCGTCTTGTTAATAAAAACTCGTTGATTCAGCCCAGTGTTTTTCCTTTTATTCCATAATGTTTTAGGATTCCTATCAGTCTTTTGTGCGGAACCGAGTCGAACGCTTTCTTGAAATCCAAGTAGATAACATCCGTTTCTCTGCGACTATCTATTATTTTTGTGAAATCATCCAGCACTCTCAGTAGTTGTGTTTGTGATGATCTACCGGGCAGAAAACCAAACAGTTCATTTACAAGGATTTCATTTTTTTCTAGATGTTCCATACAATGGGCTCTAATTATTTTCTCAAAGATTTTACAAACTGTTGATGTTAAGCTTACTGGACGATAGTTGTCAGCTGAAGACTTTTTGCCTTTTTTGATGATAGAGGCAATGTGAGCAAGTTTCCATTCTTCAGGTAGCTTCGTTTCGTCCCAAGATTTGTTAAAAGTTTTTGTAAGAACTTGAGTCAGGAAATATCTCAATTCAAACAAAAATTTCGGGTGAATTTCGTCGAGCCCTGGATATTTCGATGTTTTGATTGAGTCAAATTGCTCTTTCACCAACTGCTCTGTTATTTCTAAGTCCTTTATTGGATGGGTGATATCCAATTCTGGAATCTTCCATTCTCCTGGTGGTTCGTGTGTGAAGACTGATGGAAAGAACTTCAATTTTTTTGATCTCATTGGTCGTTAAAGATTCATCATCCTGCACTAAAGCTGGTACTGCATTTTGCAACACGGTTTTCTGCCCACATAGCTCCAGAATGTTTTTGTTTTCATTTTTCTATCATTTGCTATCTCACTTTTCTTTGCTCTTTGATCATTTCGGACAGCTGTTTTAACAGCATTTCTTTTTTCTTTATAGTTGTCAAAATTTACTTTTGTTCTATTGCAGCAAACTTTTTTCCGGTATTTTTTTTTTGCACTGATTGCCTGTCGAGTGGTATTGGTGAATATTAAGTTGTTTCTACACTCTGGATTGAGCCTAGTTAATGGTACAAACTATTTTGTTAGTTCAGTCAGGAATTCCTGATGTTTCGTTTGTGTTAGAGTGTCAATATTTGTGTACCAGAAGTTTAATTTTCTAGTCTTGGTTTCTTCTTGATTTTTAGTATCTGCGTTCCTCAAACCAGTTATACATAGTTTCCTTCTTCCTGATCGTTCAAGTTTTTTGCTTTCGTAACTAGGTTTCGCACTTCTTCTTTTTCTTTCAAACTCCGATCCGGGCTAAATCTGAGGTTTCTGATTTCTGCAGTGGCTTCTTTCATCTTTGGCAATTTACGGTTTATTTCAATAACATCTTGTTCAGTATTGAAGGAAACCAGCAATGGTCTGTTTATATGCTCATCGGTTTTCCGACCGAGTCGGATCGTTTTCACAATTTGTTTATCTTCCAGTTCGATACTTGATAAAAATTTTTCAACTATTTTTTTATCTTCTTGTTTCCTTGATTCACTGTCATTAGCTGCACTCTCCTTGGCTTTGTAGGTCACAATGTTCTTTTTTCTTCGGTTTTCTTCAGCTTCTTCTCTATTTTGTTCTTCTGTTGCTTCTAAGATGATCTCTTTCAAAGGTTTCATTTTCCGATTCACAACTTCTTTCCAGATTCCTGTCTGTTCGTCAACCTTCCCGTGAGATGGTCCTGCTATGAGTTTATAGAGATCATTCATCATGTTTTTCATGCTATCCATAATTGTATCCAGATCTGCTCTTAAATTTTGGTCGAATGATCGGTTCCACTTTCCTGTTCTTCGCTGATAAGTTGCTTCACGGTTGGACAGCAAGCAACACCAGATTACAGTAGTTTGGCACATGTATTGATAGGGTGCGTCAGGCATTTTAAGGCATTATGCACAGTAGTGTTAACGGCAACGCTCACACTCCATGACTTCGTCTAGGGGGTTTTCATATATTTCCTTGCAAATTTTGCATTCCTAAGGCTCAACGGGATCACTCACTGATGTTGTGCCTTTATGGCGAGTTTTGGGGGGTCATTTTTGATGACCTCACTTTCTACTGGCTTTGCCGCTCCAAGATAACGAAACCTCAGAATCTACGACGCAAGAAAAAAATGAAATTTCAAGTCAGTTAGTAGTAGCAGTAGTAGTAGCAGTAGTAGTAGAAGTAGTAGAAGTAGTAGTAGTAGTAGTAGTAGTAGTAGTAGTAGTAGAAGAAGTAGTAGTAGTAGTAGTAGTAGTAGTAGTAGTAGTATTAGTAACAGACGTTTACTCAAATCACATTTAAGGTCAAGAAAACAGTTCATATAACAACCATTGGCTCAAAGGTAATGGACACTAACTCTCTTGTTTTTGTACATCAATCAGCCGAGCCAATTAGTTGTTCGCTTAGGAAATCGAACTTTAGGATAGCTTAAGGTTTAATTTAAGGCCACAATCAAAATACCCTCTCCACCACTCTAGAAAGAAAAAGTTATTCCTTTATGGCTTCGTTTCCGTATACCTAACCCACGCGAACGCCATTAAAAACAGAGCTGAGACATCACTAAATCAGCATTATTTTTCACATGACTGTGTACATTTGATAGGTCTCAGATGGATCAACCTAAAACTTGCCCCATTTAAACATAACTAGAAAAAATACATGCAACTGGAAAGTTTAAATTCAGATTTTCACATCTGGAAAACAACTCTGGAGTTGACTCCAAGCACGATCAACTAACTAGTAGTAGTAGTAGTAGTAGTAGCTCCAGAGAATATTTAAAGTATCACTCAAGAAGTGTTTATAATAAAGCTCTTCAAATAGGTTTCGGACCAATGGGTCTTTTCAGTGGCCGACCATCCCAACCAAGGTGTCTCCTGCTCCACAGTCTGCACTCTCGAGTCCACTCTTGAGGCTTGCTGTTAGGAGCACAACAACTCTACTTAATCACAAGTGCCATTTGACCAGATTGTGGTCTCTTTTAATCGACAGAAAAAGATCGTACAAATAGTTGAAAATGAAGGTTATCGACGCTATTTGCCTTTGGAACCATAAAAGAAGCAAAATTCTGAAAATAGTTTTAACATGACCCGTAACAACTATTTTTTCGTATTATTTGATAAGCACGAAAATCAGTACGATAATTTTTGCTTCTCTTTCACAATAAGACAAGATAATGGAGTAAGAAGACACGAAACAACTGATCACGACCAGCGTATTAGGAAAGAAAAAAAGCCCTCCGTGGTGTAACGTTTGAGCAGCTACGATCGCTATCAGCCTTATTTCGCCAATTGTACAGGACGGGAAAAAGAGTTTCAACGATTCCTTGAAGTGAAGAAATCGCTTCTGCAGTGATTTTGTAGCGAACAGAAGGGTCTAGAATTGTACTCCAAAATTGTAATTTTAGCAATTTTAGCTTTCTGGATTGGCCTGAAATTGATTTATTAACGTCCAACAGGATATGAAAAGCAAAGACTTATAGAAAAAGTCGACTCTGTACATGAACACTAGTAAACTGGTGACATCATCATGAACGTGCATCAGTTCTGTTTTTAGGAGTGACCTCGTCATCTGGGAAGACTGAGACTCAGCCATAACTTCACAAAATTCACAATTAGTTAAGTTAATTTGCGCGGCTCGGCTGATAGACTTAAGTAAAAAACCTATTTTGTCGACCAGATGTACTTTGAACCACATTGAATTGGCTATAGTAGACTTGGTCAAAAGCACAAAAAATTCTATAGACCTTAGCCAATCATTTAGTTTTACTTTCCGTCGGTGTGTAAGCCCGGGCAAATGTTCCAACAATTTTTACGGACAGGTTGCTAATAGCAATTTAACTCTCATCTGATTTTTTTATCGAGTTTCCTGCAATTATTAATTTGGTCGTACTGACTCTGGACTCTGGTATTTCAATTACCCGAGCATGACAGGGCCGACCCCAATTTTTGAAAACTTCATTTTGAGCCAGAACAAACCTCTTCCAAATGAGCGACAAGCACATAAGGCTAAGAACTCAAGTCACAAACGACAAAAAAAAATAAATCTCAAAGGACGAAAAAATTCTATCAGAGAGGAAAAAAAACGTCTACCCACAGAACAAAAAGAAAGTCATGAGACAGGGCAAAAGACGTTTTCCACACAGGACAAAAACGTCTACACTAAGGACAAAAAACTTCTACACACAGAACAAACAAAAACGTCTACACACCAGAAAGAATAACGATTATCCTACAGGACAAAAAATATCTACGAAACAGTTGCTTATCTCACACATAGAACAAAAATCAACTCGACACAAGGCAAACAACGGCTACGCACAGGACAAAAAAACGTCCACACACCAGACAAAAATAGTCTATAACACAGGACAAAGCAAATTTTTATTCCAAACACAACAAAAAACGTCTATAAAAAAGTTACTTATACCTTCATTGATTTTTCTTTTTGAAAACTTTTTTTATTCAAGAATGCAGTCCAATTAGTGAATATTTGCTGTAACTAAAAATAATACCTCTTTTCAATTATGATATCAACGAACCTTGAATGTATCTTTATTTTTTGTAGTTTTCGTAAATTTCTATTACATGTTGAAATCAAAACTTTCATTACAAACAAATGATGACGTGTTTTTATTTTGAGTTAAATAGTTAAAATCAAATTCCATTCAATTATCTGAGACTTAAAATATCCTAAAGTACCTGTATCCGGATTATCAATTTTCAAAATTACAGCAGAGTTACTACAAATTTGCCCTGCTGTGATTTCTTTGAAGCAACGTAAGCTACTGAATGCTCGGCCAAATTAAATTTACGTAGTTTACCAAAAAACGGACCAAAATTGAAGTAGGTTTTAAAACTAAAAACGTCTCACTTTTTTGCTCCGAAGAATTTGATTAATTAACTATATCAACCATTTACAAAACTCGTTACTACTAAAAAGAAAAGCGCCGGAAAGTTTGCGAAAACATACACAGAGGAGATGGATCAGGCAGTGACAAGAATAGACCAGATGCAACGATCTTCAAGTCAGTTGCTGCTAAAAACCGTGAGAGATTATTCCCATTCCCTGTACTAGAGGAAAGAAAAATTCAGTTCTGGGGTCAAGTATAACAGTTCGAATAAAGGCTGAAAACCATCCTGATGACAGTATTGTACATTTTGTTCAAGGGTAGCACCACCGAAGGAACACTCTTAGTTCTCAATTGGTATCCTGACAAAAACTAAAAAGAGTTAGTGTCCACGATACGATCAAGTCTGTTCTCTAGAAAAATTTCCCTGCCTCGATGAGTTCATTAACCAAATTTAGGAGGTTTTTGAGGTACTTACTAACAAATTTAGCTTAGATATGGTCATTGTTTGCAAAGCACCAAAATTGTTAGATGACCATGCTGCTAACTTGAACATTGATAACACAAGAACTCGTTTAACGAACATTTTCGAAACAGCGCAGATTTTGAGTTGCTCAAACTCAACTTCTGATGAACGATTTAAAAAACTAAAGATCTTTAGTTTGGGACAAGATCCACTTGAATGATAATAACGGCGTCTCTTTCTTACGTAATCGTCTGCGTACGTTCGTTTTTGAAAAATTTACTAATCGTTCACGAGTCAGTCAAACTATCTAAAAATCAGGCTCTCGTTCATTATAATCAACACCCTTATTTGAACAAAAAAAACTAATTCTTAGAGCTTGTGAAAGCACACCTATAGACGCCACACGTACAAAAGTCAAAATAAAAAATTTTACTTCTTTTCTTGGGCTACACTCAAACTTATCATCAAACTTTTAATTATACTACGGGCTTTCTTCGAAAAACCAAAGTAGTTACGGCAAATCTTCAAATTTGGTCTGTTATTTTATTTTATTACAACTGGTACTATTCTTTATCTGTTCTTGCTTCTTGCGTGGAAAACACCGAAACACGGCCAAATACAAAGTTGTTTGCCCTTTTCAATAGTCGGAACAGTAAGGCACACCGAATACAAACTTGCTCCCCATTTTCAATAGGCGCAATACAAAAACTAAAATTAAGAGTTGATGAAACAAACAGAATCTACAGAAAATGGAGCCAAAAAACACATTGCTCCTCTTTTGCAAGTAGGAATTTTGTAAGAATCCCAAACTCTGAAAAAACAAATTTACATCGGATAGATGTTTTCTTATTTTCATGAAAGGAGATGAAATTGAGGAGAAAAATAGAGACTTCGTAATGATTCGCGATGAGAACTCGCAAGTTGGACTTACAGATTAACTTACCAATTATTAAAATCTTCAACTAAAAATAGACGACTCATACGCAATTTTTCACCGTCGAGCAGCATAATTATATGCACTTAAAAATTATAAGTTGAAATATGAGTTGGAACAGATTTCAATATGGTTATGCGTACCACATATGAGGGGCATCGCGCGCAAAAACGTTATTATTTCAACTAAAATGAAAAAACCTTTATGGGGAATTCACCAGCACCAAAATTATGCAGGCCCTCAGTTATAGATAGAAAGTTACAGAGCGATCTAGCTAAGAAAAACATCTCTGTATTTTTAAAACAGCTTCGGAATTCAATGTTTCTCAGCTTAGAAATGCAGTCTGAATTTTCTGCTGAAATGTATGACTCTCGCCATAATCCTAGATATCAGTGATTCTATTCAAAGTGATTGGCTGACCTAGTTTAATTTCGCCTGCTTCGATTGCTTTCACATCTGAGTGTGTGAAGAATCGTGTTTCGACTGCATCTGTGTTGGCCGATGAAGTTGGCATGCTGGTTGGGGATGCGTTCGCAGTACTGTTGGGGTGGGGCGAGGACATTACAGAAGGGGAGGGGGAGCAGGGGGGCTGTAAATGCAGAGTCCCACTGCGACCTGATACTGAAGAGGAAGAAGTCGCTAGCTTGCTGAACATTTCCCGCAACACTCAGCTTCGATGCGTTTTGTAAACTGCCTCTAATTTCTGCAGAAGCTAATTTGAAAGAGAAGTTTTCCGTCAAGTATTCTTCATCTTCTTTTTCACTATATTTTCTACTTTGGGAGAGCGTCGCCTTTTAATAAATGCTGTGTGGTGACTTCTTTTTTGTGGTGTTAATATGACCTGTTTATTGCATTAGATTTGAATTGAGTCATTTTTTCAAATGCAATCAGTTGTGGAGATTAGTACATATTGTGGAGCAAAATGAGAAGAGGAACCAACAAATACCTCAAATGAGTTTGGTGGGTGGAATGGAATGGAATGGAATAAAATAATTTGATGGTCTGCTTTTTGCCCCCGTGGCAACTATTTGGGTCAAAAATGGAGTCTGTGCTTAACTGTGTGTTTGTGATGGGAAGGAATGAAAGAGGAAAGCGTTTAGAAATTTTTTTAAAAAAGGAGATAAGGTAATGGCAATAATGCAATGGTAATAACTAATATAATAATTGCTCGTGTATTATAATAGCACACGGAGCAATAGCAAAAAATTGTAGCAAAACTGTTGTAGCCGCTTCAGGTTAGTTGGTTATTACAGTAGTATATTTGCTACGCTCTTCTCTATACCTAGAGCTACAGCACAGAACTCATGACAACAACAACAAAAATACAATTCTGACGATAATGAATTCCGAAAATGATAAAAGTAGGAAAAAAAGCTGTACATGAAATTCTTTTTTCTTCTAGTGCCACACAGTAGGGACAGTGGTTACTCCTGTATGGCTGCTTGCATGTATGCGTGCTAACATAGCATGTGGAACAACACGGCCCCTGCTACATAATATGAAAATGAAGCTTTTTTGGGCTCTTTTCAAATTTGGGTGGTACTTGCTACCGAATTATGACAGAGCGTGAAAAGAGCAAAGAGAGGATTTGCAATTGTCAGTAAAGATTAGCTTGCATTTGAATGAACAAAAAGCGCTACAAAATGCAAATACTATATACTCTTGCTAATTAGCCCAAGTTGTCGTAAAAAGTAGACAGGGCTAACTGGATTGCATGTTCCGCTTAACGCGACATCGACTTATTGGTGCAATGGACGGGGAAAGAACCTTGGGAGGGCAAGCGGGGTTTGAAAAGAGAGTGAGCGAGAGAGAGAGGATTAAATGGGAAAAAATGAAGAAAAAGAAAGCGGATAAACGTTAAAAGATGTGAGCAGAATTGAAATTGCAGAGGAAACCACAGCGTTACTTGCCTCTTTAATGCTCCCAATATAACCATTTCACGTGGTTAAAAAATGGGAAAATATATTGGAAAAACATAACATTAAAAATGAATTTGACTCTATTTGACTATGTGACTACATAACAAGCCACTGAAGTCCCGATGTTCTAGCACACTAAGGGGGAAAGAGGGAGAAATAATTTATTGATCTGCTCTAGCTGTCCTCACTTTAAATCACCTTTTATTCCTTCCCTGCCAACCCAATGTTCCTCTACTCAACTAAATGTCTCCTCATTTGCGCTTCCGTTTTAGCGTGGCATTCCCTGCATTAAAAAAAAAGAAGATTTTTGTAAGCCCCTTCGGCCTCGCTGAAATACGATTAGGTTTCAGTCATTTTGCTGAAATTTCTGTAGTTCATATGAAATTTCTTCAATTTTTTTGCTCAGCCTAAACGGCCCTATTCTTGTTTGATCTTGATATTTTTTCTAGGGAAATTGCTAAGTATAAAACGAGGTATAATGAGTGTACAGTGAAGATCTAGTTTTTCGGTTCACCGGACGCCCGTGAGAACCCATCGCATCTCCTAACGACTTAAAGGATTAATAGTTCGTATTGATTTTTTGTTTGTCCTCAATTTTCCCAATCGTTTTAAATCAGATTAAGAATTAACGGCCGCTTTTTGAATTTATAAGGGTACTAATATTGTACTGCTCTACGCAGGCAATTTTTTCCGTTTCACTGCTTTTTATCTCAATATAATTTACCCACAAATGACAATTTCAGCAGCCTTTGATGGCCTAATGATGAAACGAAGTGACGCTTTGTGCCTTCATTTTACCCATACATGTTCCCTTTTAACCAATTTTCCCATCCTGGACAGCACAGCATGTTATAAGCACAGGGAAATTTTTAGATAGCCACTGTGAACTGCTGAAACAGTACATCAAACTCACGTCAACCTCGTTTTTTGCACGCAATACCAGCAATACTTACAAAAAAAATGCATTGGATAGCTTTGGACAACCCCATTTTGCTCGAGATTATATTAAAAGGAAGGATATCTAAACAAGTTTCAAATTGATCTTTTTTACAAGACTCTTTTCCGCATATGGCGGAACTAAAAAAAAACATATCAAAATGGGAGCGATAAGCTTAAGAGGCCATTTAGAGACTCTATTTGCAGTGTCCTTAGGGTAATTGTGCGTGAGCTTTGGGTTGTTTCCCCTAGCTTAGGTTAGTTGGCAGTGTCATAAATCTTGAGGTTCAAAGGAAATGGTTCAATGGTGCAAAGATGTAATTAAGGCGAAGAATGGAGACCGTAAGTGCTCTGAGGCCGGGGCAATTCTTCTGATGCCAACAGGATTGGATTGAATTTAGAGAGTTGTTTAGAGGGGCTGAGCACTATTTTTAGAATTCACTGTAGCCGAGAGGCTGACCTTCAAATGCACCGGATGCAATGAAGCGATTAATTCCTATCAGAGACAGATAATAAAAAAACGCGGCTGCTACGGGTATTAAAAATAGGCGTACACGGGAGCCAGCTCATAATCCTGTTTATCACTCATCACATATTATGAAGAATACTCAACCCCTGACCAAGTGAGGGGATGGGAATGATTTTTTCACCTTTGAAAAAAACTCAATATCCTTGATTTATAACTTCACATCAGATTAGCCTGCTTAGATCAGCCCTCAAGATGATTAAAAGGTTTCAACAAAGAATTTTCCATAAAACTAGTGGTAATTTTTCGTAAATTTTGACAAAGTCCTTTGATATAACCCGAATGTCTTAAATAGAAACATTATCTCCAGTTGTATTTTTTTTCTTGCAGAAAGAACTCGACAGAACACATTGAATCTCGTTTGATTCATTTCCCGTAACACGACAACACTCAACAAAAAAAAAAACTCGCAAAAACGAGTAAAAGACATTTTTGAGCGATTTGATTCGTTTTGAGCGTTTTTTGTTTCAAGTTTGCGCAAAGTTTGTGACTTGGCCCTCCCTCTCTCAGCTGCGTCGAATATTTGCGCGACATCAAGCGGTGACTTAGCGCGACTTTAACTATTGCGTGAGTGAGGATTTTAGGCTGTGAGACGAGATAATATAATTCCGACCTTATATTTGTGTAATTACGCTTGCAATTGATCGTTTTAAATGACCGTTTCATTCGAACTTTTAGGGTTGGTTGTAAATCAATTTTCGCTCATTTTTTTCACAAAGTTTGCCTGAAAGTTTGTGCTTTGAAGCAACAAAAACTTATATTGCTTTTGTGCTTACCCACTTTTTAAATGATTTTTTTAAACATTTTTTCCGACTCAGCTTGCGTTTTTCTTGGATTTGCTGCCGGGCTTTTTTTTGTATCCCAAGTGGTGTGAAACTCCGCTTCGTCTATGTGTAAATCGGGCATCTCGTTCCGGGTTAGCATCGGTTTTTGGAAAATTTTCGAAAATGTGTCCCGTTTTTTTTGAATCCCAGTCAAATTCCTCTCAGAGTTTCTTCTTCAAACGGCATAGAGTTTTGTATAATAAGTAATGTGTTTCCTCCAAATCGCAGAGGAGCTATCAATAGGCCTTAACAGTCGTTTCGAGGATAGTTCATTTGTGTTATCTCCCCACATTCCAGACTGTGTTATTTTGTTAAGTGAAACTGATCCTTTGCGACTGAAGGCAGTTTTTTTTTGCGTCTAGAATTTTCTTGTGGTACCACTACTGCAGCCGAATTTGGTCAATTTGCTGTAGACCTAAAACAAGAGGTCAAGTGAGTGCTCGGCCTCACTCACTATCATTGCCATGGCATGATATCGAATACACGATCTGACGATTTCAGAGTGGACGCCTTACCACTATGCTAAGTGCCTCACAGTTTTGATGACAAATGATCCCAGTCATAATTTTCCAATTGTTCGGATTACTCCTAAACCTATATAACATAGCTGTTAATGTTTATCAAAATAACTAAACGTGGCGTCCCGTCGCTGAAAGAGATCAATTTATTGCACAATGAAACAAGCCAAACTAAACCATCGAAATATTTTCAGTGAGGTTTATTTAGGGCGATCTATTGGTTTATTGTCAAAGATGCAATTTTATTGAAGATGCAATTTTAGCGCCAAATTTTTTTTAAAATAAGTTATAAGAAATGATGTGCCAAGAAATGTTTACATAGCTTTTGCAACATTTAAATCATTTGTTCAGTCAGCGAAACTTAATATCTTTTCCAAACAAAAGAAACAGCAGTTTCACCAATGGGGATTGCGTCTCTGCTTCTTTTCTCGCCGGTGGCGAAAGTGAGCTTCTCTCGTTTTCCCGAAAATCTGACTCCATTTCTGCTTCCCCTTGAGTTGTTCAGATTAAAGGGTTTTGTGGATCTGGATACTTGTGTTTGCTCTGTTAAACAATCCGTTTTTTGGACTTATTGTGTCAAAATAAAACGCGTAGCCACTAGTTATTTTTGCGATAACTGAAAACCGCGATAAACAAAACCACGATTTTTGCAATCAGAAATTAGACGATAGCAAACAACAAGAAGACAAAAATCACGATATTGCAATCAAACGACAGCGGAATGAAAGAAGCCTTCCGAGTTGTAACGATTTTTCTTCAATCCTTATCGGACGCTTTTTACCAATCGGGAAGACTAAGGAAAAGAAGAGCAACCCTTCCTGGTGGCGAAGAAGACGCTTCTTCAGCGAAGATCAAGAAAACGGTAATGTATGTCGTTGAACTACAGAACTGTTGTAACCATAACTTTTAGCTCATTGAACATGACCTAAAATTAATTTAAAATTTGCAAAAATTCTCTTCCAGGAGCTAGGTGTGAAAGGAAAGGGAGGATCTATCTCGGGTGCATCAAGTTGACTTTCTCCACTGAACAAAAACAGTTGTAAAATAGTAATAAAATAGCAAGTCTGGTTTTGACCTCGTTCTCCGGAGATGACGCGACACATATAGTATCTCACTAATTCTGCATTTAAATTAGTTAATTTGCATGGTTCGGCCGATAAATCTTAAGAAGCAACAGGTTTTTCACCCAATTTTACGAGAGACCACTTTTAATTGGCTCTGGTAGAGCTATTAAAACACTTAAGCCTTTATCTTGACGCTAGTCAATCGTTGTAAGAATCAACCTGACTCTCCGTCTTTATAAACTTTCCGGGCGAACGTTACATATATTTTTATGGCGTTCTCGGTTGCTTTTCGTACCATCATGACATGTGAGTCAATTAATGAACGCCTCCGCGCGGTGCCGATTCCCCCAAAAAAGATCTTTAGCAACAACCGGATGGGAAATTTGTAACCGGATTCTTCGGTCTATCTTTTTCAACTATAAAACCCAAATTATCGTACCGTGCTTCAGTAGTTCATTCCCACATGCTCCGAAAATTCCTCCATCATTTGCTTTGTTCCAAGTTGGTTCTCTGTGATTGGTACTTGCGTCATATGATGTTCAACAAAATCCCTCACATCACCTTCACTTTGGGCCAGACTTGGATTGGGATGGGATTTTCATTCACGCCAAAAAACTCCAGAGACTCTTTCTCGCACTTGAATTTGTACTAGGTCAAATGAAAATTCTACCGAGTGCTTAAGTTTGCTGTTTTGCAATGAGATTATGATTTTGAGCAATAAGTTGAATAGGAGATACAGAGTAAAAACAAGAACAATGACTAATTTAGAGCTGAGGGAGGAGGTAGTCGACGGTAGTTCAGTTGAAATTAAAATGTTTCGGGCTGGTAGAAGAGGTTTTTGGCGGTAATTAATTTGAGAATGAAAGGATTTTTAGACAAGAGTGAGAGGTACCTTCTACTCAAATGTGTAGGTTTAACCAATCAGAATTGACTTTCCTAATTTATTCTGTAGTCGTGTTTAACAGATTTCATCTTCCTTTTATGGAATCATTATATAAAATACTTGTCCTATTAGAAATAAAGTTCCACTTTAGTATTTTTTTTAAAAAAAAGTTGATAATGTACTTTGTTTTGGTTGTTGCATTCAA